CTGAAGCACTGCAACTGCCCAAGATGGATCTTTGCCACAGAGCGACTGATCTTCCTAGTTACAAAATTTGAACCTGAAAAAACATGTACACACATATTTGAAAAATGATTATGAAGCATTCACTCTCATTTTGTCTTTTTGCATCCTTTATTCTTTCCTTGTACCTGTCTATTTCATTCATTTTTGATAACCCCCCCCATACCCCCCATACACATGTCAGTGCAAATTTGCATTTCGGCCAAAGCGAATTGAGAACTATGGCCGTCAATCTGTCCTTCTCGCACACACACAGGCAGAAACACACACTAACAGTCACACACAGGGATAAAATCAGACTCTTGTCAAGTCACTGGACCACCCCAGAGAATCTGTAAGCCCGTCCAAAGTCCTACTGAGCTGCCAGACACACACGCGCACACACACACATGCTTCATCTGTGGGAAACTTTGGACGCTCTCATGTCCTGCTGGGTTGTGCTATAGCTTGAATCAGACAGAGGTGGGAGTTCTAGACGAAAACCTCCACCGCCTATAATATCAGGCCCGGGTCAGGAACACACTTACTTTAAGTGTATAAGTAAACGACCACTATTACGCTCTTGACTTGGGCTGAAGCCTGCATGTGTGTGCGATTTTGGCCATAAAAGCTGCCTGGAGAGAATCAGCAATGCCGGGAAGATCATGCCCTATAATTGCACAACAAAAGTCAACTACAAAAATTGGGGTGGTCTTAAACCTTTCTTAAACTTTTTTCTGCTTGCCCAGTAAGGCTAGATTTCTACTTGCTCTGCGCCCATGAATTTATAATGTCATGTTTACATTTATAACTGTAAATATAACAGAAATATACAATTGCTGTAAGGTTTAATATTTAGTTCCCATAGCTTAAACAGCAAATGGTCACGGGTTCGATTCCCAAAGAATACATGAACTGATGAAATGTCTATAACTCACTTTGAATAAAACAGTCTGCCAAATGTATAAATGTACATTTATTTGAAAATTATTGAAACACATTTATAAGCATTCCTGTAGCTTAAACTGTAGATAATGGCCAAAACACACATTTGCCAAGGTTTGATTCCCAGGAACATGCATGAACTGATATAATTTAAATATGATTTAAATAAAGTGCAAGTCACTTCTTTAATAAAAGCACTTGTCAAATGCATAAATGTAAATTTCTTTAATTATTTAAAAGCATTCAAACAGTAGACAATGGGCCAAAGCGACGCCAAGGTCATTGGTTTGATTCTCAGGGAAAGCTTTAACTGATTAAAAATCAGCCAAATGCGTAAAAGAGTGTACATTTGAAAAATATTATTAGTTACTAAACTTTTTTTTTTACATTTTCACCATTTTAATCAAATGTTAAGTTGTCTTTACCAAAAAGCAGCAATATAGTTTTTACTAATAAGCAGAATTCGCAATTAAATGTCATAGAAAACCATATGTTTATGTTTTCCAGGCATAAAAATTATTGTACATGATTGAAAAAAAATAAGTAAAATATGCTGTAGCATGATCCAAAACAGTTGCCCTAGGCCAGCAGGTCACCTTTATTGCTGAGCCCTGATCTGCAGTGTAACCTGAAATGAAATGTAAAAAATACAAATAAAAAAAATAAATCATAAGTGGACAAACTCTTTCCACTTACAGGATGTCCGTCATGGGCCCCCCGTGTGCAGGCTTGCTACTATCACAAAGGGCTCTTTCTAATCCGTACTAAACGCAGCTCATGACCAGGTGCGTGAGCTTGGCACGAGAAGAACGGTTTAAAATACCACACTGTAAACAGCCGGGTCAATCCGTCGTCACAGACAAACCACAGGGGGGGACCCGAGGATCTGATTTCTGTTCACTAGTTTGAAAAAAAGAGAGGAAAAAAGTCAATCGAAGCCGATTGACCAAACCGTGGTCCACAATAATGGGCCGGCTATGCATCTGTGCGCAAGTGTGTTTAAAAGTCCAAGACATGCCATTTCCGCACACCGGCTCCTGTTTCCAGTCGGAGTGTAATTAGGCCGTCTCTTAGCACACGGTGGGAAGCCATGACGAGGAGCAGAGTCGCAGGGAGTCGACCGCAGCTCGCTCTCATCAAGTCTAAAACAACCCAGTTTAGGGCAGGTTTAGACCGTGATTATGCGGACGGGATCGCGGCAGACCTGCAGGTGTGCGTGTTGGCAGCGGAAGGTGCCCGGGCGCTGTCAATGTACATTTTAAGAGTAATGAGCGCGGGTACCGTTGAGTATCTAGGCGAAATTTCTAATGGATGGAAAGACGCCCTGCCAAACCAGGTGGAAATAAAGTGCAGTCAAGATGTCTGGTCTATCAGTCACTGACACTCAGATATTTCCAGCACGTGAAAAAAAACGACTGTCAGTACAAGGCCCTGTTCCTGTTTCTTGACATTTGTCTGAACACACATTCATGCAGATGTACACGCAACCGTCGGATTGCCACGTTAATTTAAATCAATGACAAAAACACACAGCAGCACCCTGCTCTCTTTTAGAACTGGCAAAGCTGCAATGTCAAACCAGAAAAACAGTTAGAGCGCTCAATAATATGGTTGACCTGGAGGCCATTATGAGTTTCGGCCCAGCTGACTAAACTGTCACTTGTCCTATTGGGTCAGTGCTATATCTTACGAGTTTTTATTATAGTTACATACAGAAAACGATATAATATGTAACTTCCAGATACTATTCTTAATATTCTTTGTAAAGAAAAATGTACATTTAATGAAAAAATAAATTTATATTTGTGAAAAAATGCATGATAATATTAATATGAAATTAACATTTAGAAACGTCAAAAATTATGAATGTAAAATATATAATTACATTCTTAAAGGGGAAAATTCATATCATGAAAATCTGACTTTTTCTGTGTTTAAGTGCTATAACGGGTCCCTGGTGCACCTACCAACCTAGAAAACGTGAAATCGCGACATCGGTGTACCAGTTCTAACACCATGGCGAAAGTTCGAGCAAAGCATGCTAGCTGTTCTGTCTTTGGCTGCACTGATGAGCACAGCCTCAGAGGAGACAAGAGAGCAGTGGATTTATTGATTTATTTATTGTATATTACATTGCTGTAGTGTAGTCAAAAGTATCGACTGCAATACCAGTCGGTACTCTAATTTTAAAAATGTCAATTTCCGGCTAACATTTGAGCTATGTTAAGTGGATTCTTAAACACCGCTGATTGGCCATAGTGTTCATGCACTCAGTGAGCGCTCTGCTCGGTGAAGAGCGTGAAGCAATGATCATTGAAGCCAATCACAGTCATATCTGTTGAGCGTGTGAACACTGGCCAATCAGGGCTGTTTAAGAATCCACTTAACATCGATCAAATGTTAGTACCAACGGGTATCGCGGTTAATACTTTTAATAACACTACGCTGCTGGTACACAGATCTAATATAAACATGTAATTTATTTTTAAGTGCAATAAGACATGAAAGAGAACTTAGTTTAGTACTAGCATGCCGCATGACAGCTGCTTTCTGTACGCGTGCTTCAGATGTGTGCGCTCAGGAAACCGTATATCAGAAGTTTAAACTAATATGGTTTAAAATGCATGATTTCAGCGCGATAAACATGATCATCAAAACCAAACAGATGTTTTTTTTAGCAGACTATCTGAGTAACGAGCTGTACAGCCCTATTCTGGAAAAGGAGGGGGAGCAGCAGTTCATTTGCTTTTAAAGAGACATGCATGAAAACAGTGTGTTTCTGCTTCCACTCAAAAAAGGCATTTTCAAAATGATATAATAAATGACCTGTGCGGTATTTCGAGCTAAAACTTCACACAGACACAATTTGGGGACACCTGAGACTTATATTACATATTGTAAAAATGGGCATAATAGGTCTCCTTTAGTACAATATATAATATGAAAGTTATTTTATATACTATATTGCATAAATATATATATATATATATATATATATTTGTTTTTCTAATAATAAAAAAAATAATTGAACCCCGCACATCTGAAAAATCGGAGGTAGTTATATAAGACAAGATATTATAAAATATATAAAAAAACTTTAATTAATAATAAATAAACAAATGACTAATTAGGTTGCAAATAATTGCAAATAATAAAGTGTTTTGCCTTTTTAAAAAAATATATTTTTATAAAATAAAATTTATAATATAATACAACTAATTATCTAAGAGGCCTGTGGAAAATATTGGCAGGTCAAGTAGAAATCTCAACTACTTCCCCAACTAGGCATTTAGGAAAAAATCCTTATTGTTGAGCCCCAAGTAACGAACTATGTCAGCTTTTGGGAGTGCATGTGGGAGCGTGTGTCGGACAGACAGAGAGTGAGAAGCAGAAAGCAAGAGAGATACAAGGTGAGGAGTGATGTTTAATTTGAGACATTAAAGGAGGATCTCATTCACTTCCCTTCTTTGTTGCCATGACAACATGACAACACAAACACAGGTGTGTGAGGCGGGTAGATGAGGAGTGAAAGAGCAAAACATCTCACGGCTCATCCAGCAGTGTGCACATGTGCGTGTGTGTGTCTGCGATAGGTGAGAGGTCCATCGACACCTTCATACAGGTGCAGCCCTTCTCACCTGGAGAGGTTTAACTTCTTAAAACGCTCGTCTTTCAACAGGAAAGCGGGAACGTGAGTGAACAAAAAGACGAGAGATGAGTGTGTAATGGAGGAGCCCTCAGATGTCGTCTGATTGAGTAGCACGACCGTTTCTCTCGTCTACAACTACACGCTGTTATTAGACGTACGAACTTGAATAGGTGTCAAAGTGTAACGGCTTTCACATGCGCACACACCCCAGACGTCTCTGTGGCAGATTTGTAACCGATTATTTTTCTCTTCTCATATTTCGTAAACTCTTTCGGAGCGAGTTTGTTTATTGGTGAAAGTGGACACCGGCTGAAATTCCGAAGTGAATTCCAAACTAGATTAACTCATCATCGCCGGCCCGCCCAATGAGGGGAGGCTACCACTGAGATCAGACAGGAAATGAAGTTGGCTTTTTTCACACTATCCCATCCATCTCTCTCCCTGTTTAGCTATCTAACCCTACTCCAGCCCTGTACTTTCTTCTTTCCTAGTCTCCCTTCAACTTATACACACGCTTAGACTGTCTAGTTGGCAATGTTTGTGTCAAAAATCCACGCCACTAATGACTTCACCGCTCTTCCTGTGCTCTGGAATTGTGGGTGGGGGCACAGAACAACACTCTTGTTGTTGAGAAGATGTCATGGCTGCACCCTTTACCAAAAGTTGTGTCATGATACTCCCCCGTAAACCAATCACAATGGGTCTAGCCACACATGCAACATGCTCCCTGGACTCTTGCATCACTTCCTTTAGTGTAGTCTGCAGAGCTCTTATTGTATGTCTCATAACCCAGTGAACCATCTTGATGTCTAGATAAGTCTGAATCTGTCTGATTAAGAAATTAATTTAATCACGTGAGACCACAAAACTGTCACTCCCATTACAATCACTGAAAATATCTACACTTTAAGCGCTTATAATGGGAGTGATCTAGTTGCTGTGTCACGCCACGCACTTGTAACGTAAACAGTTCTGTTGCGCCAAGATTGCCATCAAGGCACTGACAGACTGTTTGAGGAATATTCACACTCCAGTCCAGAGGTTCCATCTAGTAGCAAATATTTGTCATTTAAGCAAACTATGAAAGCTTCACGCCTAAAAATGACTGATGAATTTGCTTTACAGTAATCCTTTGGTTGTGAATGAGTCTGCAAATGAGTTGAAATTGGGTTCTTTAAAATACATATTTGCATGTGTAGTGAGTGCTACATTACGTAGATTTTTTTTTTTTTGCATTACGTTGAAAAGTTTGGGGTCATTAAGGTTTTGTTTAGAGAGAAATTGAAACTTTTATAATGACATTTATATTTATATGAGCAACATTTATATTGCTACAAAAGACTTATTTAAAAAACATTTTTGCTCTGCATTAAATAAATCTGTCAATCAAATAATCCTAAAAAAAACATGATTTCCACACTTAATTTAGCCATCTATATTTCAACATTAATAATAAGAAATGTTTCCTAAGCAGCAAATCAACATTTTCTAAAGGATCACGTGACACTGAAGACTGGAGTAATGGCTTCAGCTAACTTTAAATGACTTTTAAAAATATAATAAAAATAAAAAGCTGTTCTTTTAAATAGTAACATCATAATATTACTGTATTTACTGTATTTTTGATGAAATAATTTAATTAAATTATTAAATAAATGCAGCCTTGTTGAGAATAAGAGACTTCTTACAAAAAAAAATTAAAAATCATACTGACCCCAAACTTTTGAATGGTAGGGTAGTTGAGATGTTAAAGGGATAGTTTAACGAATTACAATTCTTAAAAATACCTTCCTGTGTACCACAAAATAAATAAATTCAAACATTCGACATGAGGGTGAGTAAATTATGACAGAATTTAGATTTTTGAGTGTACCTGTAACATACTGGAAGCATTTAAGAATTATAAATGCATTTGTATGCAAGACTTACATTTTTAAACTCCCCCTATTCATTACTCTTATTTTGTTATGAAAATTAAAAAGGAGGTTGAGTTGTTAAACCTGACCAGAACTTATGCCCGTTTTGATGAATGAGGTGACTGTAAATTATGAGGTCTAACACATAGCAGTTGGTTACTGCACATTTTTCAAAACCAAATGAAAATGAAACCACATAAGGCGTACTTTTACCAGAAAGTGACCCCTAAGCAAAGTAATCTCAGTAGCTCTGCACTAGAAGAAGAAACAAACCAAAAAAAAAAAAAAAAAGAAAGAAAGAAAAAGTTTGTGGTGTGTATCTGACCTCTTCTAGGACTCTCATGATTGAACAAGATCCCATTCACAGCAAAGAGGTTATAGGCTTCCCTGAAGTTTACCACTATCCAGTACGCATAGAGTTTAGCAGCACCTGCGAAAAAAAGAATATATATATATATATATATATATATATAAATATTTGTGTATTTATTTATTATTAATATAACAACATAAAAATATAAAGACACAGCATGTTTTTAGATGTGTGCGTGCTGACCATAAGGAGAACGTGGGTAAAATGGTGTGGTCTCCTTCTGGGGAATTTCCTGTACTTTCCCGTAGAGCTCGCTGGTGGAGGCCTGGTAGAAGCGGACGGTGTCAGTTAAACCGCAGGTCTTCACTGCATCCAGCAGCCGTAGGGTCCCCAGCCCGTCAACTATATATATATATATATATATATATATATAAATATTTGTGTATTTATTTATTATTAATATAACAACATAAAAATATAAAGACACAGCATGTTTTTAGATGTGTGCGTGCTGACCATAAGGAGAACGTGGGTAAAATGGTGTGGTCTCCTTCTGGGGAATTTCCTGTACTTTCCCGTAGAGCTCGCTGGTGGAGGCCTGGTAGAAGCGGACGGTGTCAGTTAAACCGCAGGTCTTCACTGCATCCAGCAGCCGTAGGGTCCCCAGCCCGTCAACATCTGCGGTGTACTCAGCCAGGTCAAAGGAGATCTGACAAACACAAGGCATTTATGCATAAGACTTAAATGTAAAAGTATACAAGTAAATGGCTAAATGCAATTCAGTCTTATGACATAACTCAATAACATAAGCCAAGAAGTTGCCAACATAAACATAATTTAAGGAAATATGAAAACAAGTAAGTGCCTGGTAATAAAACTCAGTGCAAAACGCTCTAAACTGAGAGCAGGAATCTTCTTTTTGGTTGATATCAAGTGTCTTTGTTTGCATAGAGCTGCATGCTCTGCTGTTACTGGAAAACACAGAGCATCAAACAATTTGTCTTCTAGCTCATGTAAACTGGGTCAAACAGCTAAATGTTGTATATGGATAACTGTATTCGTTGCATATAATTTGCAAGCCATCAAAAGAACAACACCACAGTATTATCTAACAATGTTACATTATCTCTAGCTTGATTTTGCAGTGTATTTCAAACTATTATACAAACAAAACTGACTATCAACAGAAAATCTGAACCTTAAAGGATTTTGTTAACTGATTCACTAAAAATATTAGACTTAAAAGAACAATTTGTTCACAAATCAGTTATTGTTACTTCTCTCATGAATGCGGGAAAGAGAACAAGCATGAATGTCAAGATTTTCAGTGAAAAATAATTTTTTCAGCCTGTTTCTAATAAATAGTTATTAGGGTTGGGTAAAAAATATTGATATCTCGATATTAATCGATTCTCATTTTTACGGAATGATATTGATTCTTAAATCCCAAGAATCGATTAGTCTAGCCTGTTTTCAGTTAATGGACAGAACATTGAAGGGTAGGCTACTTCCCATCCAATAAATCGCAATAAGCATTGTGCTTTGGTACTTTTCATATGAAACAAAGTCTCAGATTTCAAATGATGTCCATTGTATTGCAGTATTTAAACAATAAATGCCATTTTGGCGCTGTTTATTGTGGATTGACAGATCGCTGTAGCGCCTCAGTTCAACAGACGCAGCAGCGCGAGGCGCATGTGAACTGATCATCTCCTCCACATTAATACCAGTTTCAGCACAAAATAAACATGACTAAACATCCGAAGGTAAGTTAAAAGAAAGAGTACAACTTTACAATCTGTATCCTGTCTCATGTAATCGCTCAATCTGTGTTTCAGTCGTGCAAAGATGCCAATATAACGGCTTGTAAACAATGTGTCACGTAACGTCACATTTTCCTCAGAAAAACATATCCAGTGACCATAAACTCATTAGTCAGATAGAAAAATAAACTGTAGAGAGGAGCATTTTGCTTAATATATGCGCCATAGAACATATTCATTATAATTTTTACTGTTCTTCAATGTTAAATTTATGTTGGAATAAATCCATCAAGTTTTTATGACAGCCACCATTTAAATGTTTATATTTCAAAAAACGAATTGAAGTAGAAATATTAATATGTAACTAACTTTATTATTGTAAAAACTTTTTTTTAACCTTCAATATTATAGTAATGTTGTACCAACTGACTCTCATGTATATTTTACAGCATTAGTTGAGATTTTTTTTCCTTGAGAAAATATGGCTTGTACTGTACCTGATATATAGGGTAAACGTACCTATTAAGCTCACCAAAATCTACAGTGACGCATTTTTAGTGCACAAGATAAGAAGTTATATTAAAATAAAATATTAATCTCTCTCACAAAAATTAAATTTTATTTTAAATGACAAAAGCATTTGAATTAAGATATACATCATTAAATGCTAAAGGTCTGACTGTGCTTAATTGGTACATTTTTGTACCCTTTAAGCACACCCCTGTTCCCATTAAGCTAACATCATGTTTTATTAAAAAGTCTTGTTTATTTTGAACAACATTTCTGAAGAATAATTTTAAAAAAAATTATTTGAAGGTACAAAGTCAATCACTAAAAAAAAAAAAAAAACACTAAAATCAAGCAACAAGGCACTCAATTTGATCAGTTATAAATTCATAATGAAGTGCCATTTAAGCACATTGCAACATCTATACTAGTTCACATTCAGCGAAGTAACACATTCAAAAAAACAAAAAACAAACTATTTACAAAGTAGGTAAGTGTATGAAGCCTAGTGTTTTAAAAATCTGTTCACATTTTAAAAGTCGTGTAGCGTATTCCAGCCTTTAGTTGCTTTTTTCCTGGACAGATACTACAGGTTTCTGTTGGCTCCTTCTTTGAATGGAAGACATGCCTCTTTCATCTTTAGGCATAAACTATAGTTATGTCTCGATTTTGTCATCTTAAAGCTGTTAAAATAAGTTATTAATCATTTTACTGAGATCAACTTAAAGTGACGACCATCAGTTAATATTTAAAGTCTGTTTATGAAGTATTTACATAGATGGTCAATGTGGAAGAGCTTAAAGAGAGCACACTGAGCTTAATTGGAGCAGCAACAATTTTTTATAAATTTCATGTAATAATTATTAAAATGACAAGATTTTGCTAAATAAAGAATCTAGGTCATGTATTAAGTTCACACATTTTAATATGAACAACTATTATTAACAATATCTATGAAATCATACTTTTTCTTATTGATGTCACACTGAAGCTGTGTGATTTTCATAGTAGTGTAACGCTTTAAGCTCACCTTACAATAATATGAAATCTTTAAAAATCACAGCAGTATAAAACCAAAGACCAGCAATAAACTGTAAATTTATAATATTATGGATTTAAAAGTACAAGCCAGTAATGCCTGTGAAGTAATATATTAGCGTAGCACACAATCTTATACAGCTAGTCAGCTAACTGTGTTCTGTAGCATCTGCGCTACGTTGCTAAAACTATCTTTTGGATCTAACTGTAATTATTTCCCACTTCCAAGTTCCAGGTTATAATATGCAAAAGTCTGAACATTAATATCTTAATTTTACAGTAAGTAGTGAATCTTACCCAAAATAAAGGCTTAAACATCTAGAAAATGCACATTTAAAGGGCTCCTCTTTTGGTGAAAGTTTTCAGACAGGTTTAAAAATGGCCACCAGACAGTGTCAACACATGGAGACCCATATCTCAGTGTATAATTATCTGAATGACTTGAAATTACAAGAGGTATGTAGTAACAAACACATCAATTGGTTAAAGGGGTCATATGATGCGATTCCAATTTTTCCTTTCTCTTTGGAGTGTTACAAGCTCTTGGTGCATAAAGAAGATCTGTAAAGTTGCAAAGACTAAAGTCTCAAAACCAAAGAGATATTCTTTATAAAAGTTAAGAGTCAGCCATTCCTACCTAAAACGGCTTGTCCTAACACGCCCCCACATATCTACCTCACTATGTGGGAATATTTGCATAACGCCGCCCAAATGTTCACGCAAAGAAAGAAGGCGTAACTTTTAGTCTCGCTGTAGTTTTGTTGACGCTGCAGCCATGTCCTGAAGACGCTGTGTGCTTGGTTGTGAAAGCGAAACTACTTTGCTTGGTCTTCCAAAAGAGGACGATATCCGTTTCGTCATTCCTGGAGCTGATCTGTGCTGGTCGCTCAGGGAATACTTCAACTTTCACCGTGGACAAAGCGGAGTCCAGCCCGCCTCAGCTCACTCTATCCCGGCCTCAGCGCACGCTAAGCCGAG